TGTTGCCTGCCAACGGATTCCACCTCTTGGGTCCCCTTCTTCCTGCGGGAGATGTCTTTTCTGCTGTCCTTTAATAAACTTCTAATTTCTACTCTGACCTTGCCTCGGCGTGTGCTTTTCTGGTGTTATTCTTCAACATGGGGGAAGCAAGGACTCGTCACTGGCCAACAGCGGTAACACAGCTATGGCCCCCTTCTCCCCCACAGTAGAAGTCTACCTTACGCTTTTTAAATAAATCATGCTTTATATGCTTGCCTTGGCGAGCTTCTCTAATGTTCAAACTTCAACATGTTGGGGAGCAGAAATTGTCACCTAACTGGCTTTAACACAAGTATTTATCCCTCAGTGCTCCATGGTACCAGGGATTGAACTCAGGGCGCTCCACCACTGAGCTACATTCCCGAGACCTAGTTATCTGTGTTCTTGATGGAACTCAATGCCTTGCGCATGCTAAGCACATTTTTTATTTTTTATTCTGAGACAGAGTCTTGCTAAGATGCTCCGATCTTGTGATGCGCCTGCCTCAGCTCTTGGGGTCTCAGGCATTGTGCTATTGGCTCCATATTTGCAACCCGCCACGCCTGTTCTTAGAGAAGTTACCTTAACCTGGGGCCTAAGGTCAATGGTGGCTCACTTGTGGTTATGCGGGTTAAATGAGCAAATGCACGTTTAAGTACTGAATGCCCACTCTGTACAAAAACCCCACTAAAAGTTTCACCTAAAGAAAGAGGCATAAATGTTCCAATGGGATGTCGTAGGACAAGGGAACAAGCGCTGGACCGAGGAGGTCTAAGGGCTTACGGCTCAAGTTGTTTGATGGTTTTTGGTGCTGGGGATGCACATGCCAGGCAAGCGCCCTCCTGAGCTGCCCCTCAGCCCCACTCCGCAAGTCCTTAAAGGCTTCCTGCCTCTGTGCCGCTGGCGCACCGCGTCCCAGCAGCAAAACCGCCACCACTCTAGCCTTCCCTTAGCGCCCGACGGCCGGAGCGCGGGCACCGGTACCCACCGCGGCTGGGGGGCACCSAGCCTGCGGCGCGCTGGTAGCCCGGAGGGGCGCCCGTGACGTCCATTTCCTCCCGGCTCTGATTGGGCGAAGCGTTCCGGCCCTTCTGATTGGTCGGATACACTACCACCCCAGAGTGCTTTGCGGCGCCRCTTCCTTTCCGCCCTCCGATTCCCCGCAAGAGGTGAGTTCGTCCCTGTGCTGCCATCAGATTCCATCCTCCGCCATCAGCCCATCGCAGCCGCCCGCGCGGCCATGGATAGGCTTCTTTGTTGCCGCAGGCGGCGTCGGCCTGGGACCCAGGCGGGAGGACCTGGGGTGGGGGCCCAGGGCGCGCGGCCAGGCTCCGGCCCTCACTCGTCGCCCTTCTCCCCTCGAGGCCGTAGGCAGCCATGGCGCCCAGCCGGAATGGCATGATCCTGAAGCCCCACTTCCACAAGGACTGGCAGCGGCGCGTGGCCACGTGGTTCAACCAGCCGGCCCGGAAGATCCGCAGGTGCGTGGCGGGCGCGTGGGTACCCGGGGCAGGGCGGTGGGGCGCCAATTGGGGCACGCCGCCCCCTCGTCGCGGAGTGGAGGTGACCGCCGCCCGGCTTCTCTCCCCGCAGGCGCAAGGCCCGGCAAGCCAAAGCGCGCCGCATCGCGCCGCGCCCTGCGTCGGGACCCATCCGGCCCATAGTGAGGTGCCCCACGGTGCGGTATCACACCAAAGTCCGAGCTGGCAGGGGCTTCAGCCTGGAGGAGTTGAGGGTGAGTGCGGGAAGCAGCGCGGGCCGCGGGTCCGGCCCTCGTGGGTCCCAGCCAAGTGATGACATTCTCCGGAATCGCTGTACTGCCGTGATGAAAGTACACTTGAACCCTTTTCCATCTGACGGCTGAGCGTTTGTTGTGGCCCCGTGGGGGAGGGCTCCGTGGGCCTTCATCCGTGCCTGCTTTTGGTGCAGGTGGCAGGCATCCACAAGAAGGTGGCCCGGACTATTGGCATCTCGGTGGACCCCAGGAGGCGGAACAAATCCACCGAGTCCCTACAGGCCAACGTGCAGCGGCTGAAGGAGTATCGCTCCAAGCTCATCCTCTTCCCCAGGAAGCCCTCCGCCCCCAAGAAGGGAGACAGCTCTGTGAGTACCGCGAGCTGGGAAGTAGGAAGGTTGGGAGCTGAGAGGCAAGGTTCAGGTCGAATGATCTYTGTGCCTGGGGCCTTCATATTCTCCAGCACCTTGCCATTTTGTGTGGGCAGTGTGGTCGATGGTGAGGACTCTTGGGCTAACCAATGGCCAAGGTGCCCTGCTGTGGTCTTGAGCCAAGCTCTTCTGTCTGCTGGCGGCCACAGCTGACAGTGCTGTGGACTTGGAGCCTGCTGGCCTTGCTCAGATGCATTTTGTCCAGAGGTGTTCCTAGGAGGCTTAGAGGATAAAGTCAGCAGTGTCCATCTTTGTGGGCTTTCATGGAGGTTGCATTAGGGAATGGGTTTGCTCTGCTCCCATTCTGGGTGCTCAGGACCAGGTGAGCATTGATCTGGGCCTGTTTTATCTCTAATGACTGGGTACATAAGGGCTCAGGATATTGTGACACTTAGGTAAAGTGGAGCTGGACTCACTTCAGTCTTACTCCACACAGGCTGAAGAACTCAAACTGGCCACCCAGCTAACAGGACCAGTGATGCCCATCCGGAACGTAAGTAGATACTTGGTTTGCTTAGGTGTTGTTCTAGAGATTGGCAGGCGAAACCTTGGGTGGGACAGATACCTGGTTGAAAGGTGGCTTTTTAGCTCAGGTTTTTAGGTTGTGGGAAGGGAGGTTCTTAAGTCAGGGCCTCTTGAGGAATGAATGGCCTTGTCCCACCTTTCAGAAGTCTTGTTGACACTCCCTTGATCTCCCCGCTGCAAGCCTGCAAATTTCAAAAATATATTCTAATTAAAACATTTATTCTAACTAAAATAAAAGTTATCTGTAGGAATTATATACAGGAGACTTGCCGGGTGTGATGGTGCATGCCTATAATCCCAGTGGCTCAGGGGGCTGAGGCAGGAGGATTGCAGGTTCAAGGCCAGCCTCAGCAGTTTAGCAAGACTGTAAGCAACCTAGTGAGAGACTGTCTCAAAAAATGAAAAAGGTCTGAGGATGTGGTTCGGTGGTTAAGCACCTCTGGGTTTAATCCCTAGTACCCAAAATTTTTTTTTTGTAAATAGTAGTATTCTAAGTAGGAAAGTAGTAGTACTCAAAAGTAGGAAAAAGCGGACTTCAACCTTTGCATGACAAATTAACCAGAATAAACTTTACAAACAATATCTAAGAACCCTGCATGTGACACCCAATGACATGGGGCTCTTGGTAGGTAATGAGCATGAGGGGTCTCCCACAGGGTCCCCGCTCACTGCTGTTTGGAAGCCAGTATGCAGGCAGCCCTCTGGGAATGCTAGTGGTCTTATGTCCCTGTGGCCTGCCCAGCAAGTGTCCTGGAGGTGGGGGCTCTTTGTCCTCGGGTCCCACAGCAGCATCTGTGGGACCCTTTCATAGTCTTTCATAGTACCCCTTTCATAGTCTTCTCTGGGGACTTAAGTCTGAGGTGGATGTTGAAATGGGATCCTGCTCAGTTGCTGAGGCTGGCCTTGAACTTGGGATCCTCCTGCCTCAGCCTCTCAACTTGCTGAGATGGCAGGTGTGCACAACTGTGCCCAGCATTGTTTTTCCTCTTGAAATCTTATATGTAGTTTGGTTGATTTGTCAAACTCAGGGTCTTGTGCGTGCTAGGCACTCACTTTGTGAGTTGTATGCCCCTGGCCATTAATTTCATTTTTATTTATTTATGAATGAGTGACAGGGTCTCCCTAAATTGTCCAGGCTGGCCTCAAACTTAATAGTCTTCCTCCCTTGGCTTTCTGAATAGCTGGGATTGTATGTATGGGTCATTATTCCTAGCTTTGATTTTTATATCTTTTATTTTTTGTTTGCATCCTTGAGGATTGAGYCCAGGGCTCTCTTCCTGCATCACTGGGTTTACAGGCACATACCACCATAGCCACCTTTTTTTTTGCATCAGGGATTGAACTTAACACTGAGCCACATCCCAGCCCTTTTTTGTATAAAAAAAATTCAGGGTCTCACTGAATTACTTAAGGCCTTGCTAAGTTTTTGAGACTGGTTTTGAACTTGAGATCCTCCTGTCTCAGCCTCCCAGGCTGCTGGGATTCCAGGCATGCACCACCATATGCCTGGTTCATCTTCCTCATTTTTTTTTTCCAATATATTTTTTAGTTGTAGTTGGATAACGATAGCTTTATTTTTATGTGGTGTTGGATCAAGCCCAGGGCCTCACAGTGGTCGAGTGCCCCTGAGTTCAATCCCTGGTCCCYCCCTTCACCCACCAAAAAAAAAAAAAGGTAAAAAGTAAGGGGAGAGACTTTCTCTCTTAATATTTGCCTTCTGCTTTATTTTTGTTGATTCTGGCGGGTGCTGAGTTGCCCATACTGGCCTCAAACTCTTGACCCTTTCGCCTCAGCCTTCTGAGAAGCTGGGGCTCTGGGTGTATACTGCCATGCCTGGCTATGGGGAGACTTCCGAACCTCCAAAGAGGATAGTCTGTTCCTGGTGGTGCCAAGGCAGGTTTGCCTGGCTTCCCTTGGACTTCTTACTGGTTTGGTTGGGGGCAATGCCACACAGCCCAAGGTATCAGCCTAATCCTGTCCTCCCTCCCAGGTGTACAAGAAGGAGAAAGCCAGAGTCATCACCGAAGAGGAGAAGAACTTCAAAGCATTTGCCAGTCTCCGCATGGCTCGCGCCAACGCCCGGCTCTTTGGCATCAGGGCAAAAAGGGCCAAGGAAGCTGCAGAACAGGATGTCGAAAAGAAAAAATAAAGCACTGTGGGGTCTTGTAATAAATGCTCTCCATGAAGCTAAAGCTGGGCTCCTGTGCTCTGCCTCCACATGCAGTGGCCAACTGTGCTGGCCCAGATTTGTTGGGTGTGCTGCCAGGGCTCTCACCAGCCTCCCGGAGCTTGCATTTCATCTCAGGATTTAGTTTGGCGATTTGAATTGCGCMTGGATCCTTTTTGCCATCTTGCTGTCCCTAAAATGTTCTGAAACTGTCCTTGCTCCATGGCTGGATTGCCACCAGGGTGAGGGTGTTCACTGCCCACTTTGAAGGTGGGCCCTTATCTGCCTGTGTCCCTAACTGTAGCTCGAACAACCTCAGATCCAGCTTTCTTGACTGAATCCTGGTGTTCCTTGCCTGGATACACTCAACATTCCCTATGGGATGCTTCCAGCCTGCAGGTAAGGGATGATAGACCACATGTCTCAGCAGTGACACAGCCTGTGCTTTTGAGGCTGTATACCCCTGCGCCTGAGAAGCGGTAGCCTCTGACTGTTGCATGTTTCCAGGGAGCTGTGCTCCTAGGAGGTCAGGGTGGTTCCTGGCTGCAGGTTCTAACCAGTCTGCGGGTCCTGTCAAGCAAAGGTCCTTCCTGGAGATGCCTGTCCCTGTCCCCAAGGAGTTCTTGTAGTAAGGTGCCTACTGTATACTGTCTGGGGAGGGTAGGGAGGAAGTAGCTGCTGTCCTTAGGCATACCTCACCTGCTGCCGTGGAACCCAGCAGAACCCTCCAGAATGAGAGTCCTATCTGAAGTGCTTGATGGAGGTGGGGTGGGTAGTTGGAAAGGAGAGACTTGAGGGTTCTCTGGGGTCAGGAGTCCTCTCACTGCCACAGAGGGTCCTCTCCTACCAGCAGGTAAGTGGGTGCCCTAAGACAAAAGGCAGTCACGAAGCTGGTACACAAGTGTCCTGCCATTTGAGTGCTTGTCGGCTCCAATTTACAGATGAACTTGCATCCTCTAGTCTCTGGCTGGAAGGATTAGAAAGTGTGTCCTCTGCAAGGGCTCTGACCCTGCAGTCCTTGGTCATGGGTGAGGACTGGGTTGGACATTGTGGCCACTGAGTTGTGCCCACCTAAGGAAGCAGCACTGACCAGCAGGACTCCATTTAGCACACCTGAGCTGGATTCTAGGGTGGCCCTTAGATTCCCCCCCCCCCCCCGGAATGGTCCCTTGGTGTTCCTGTTAAGTGTGGACATTTATGATTGACATGTAAGTCCCTGTGAAGCATGACAGGTTAGGGGGCTTACTGGAGGGCACTAAGTGCTCCTCCCCCACCCCCAAGGGACTGAGTTTGGAGAGCCCTCAGGCTAGGTGAGGGTCCCTGGGCAAGGCCTTGATTGCTGGGCCACGCTCCCAAGATGGGGACTACAAAGCACACAGTACTTGTGCAGTTATAGATATTTGGTCCCCAGCGTAGCAGATACCCCATTCATGTTGCAGCTGGGTAGGAATCAGCCAGTGGGTGTGTGCCTCTGTGGGGAACAGGTGGCAGTGTGGTTTTGTCCTGGCAAAACAGCAGCTGGGTGTGGCCAGCAATGACTGCAGTGGCCACCAGTSGGTGTGGGCACTCTGCTTTTGCAGTATGGGAAGCTAGAAAAGGTTCTGAAGATTTTGATTTACATGTATGAGTGGAGCACATTTTACAGTTTCATGTTCTTTGCCCATTTTTAGTTGACATGCACTGGTTTGTTTGGAATTTGGATTTCTCTATTTTGCTTTTTTGGGAAGACATTAGGAATTATTTTAATGAGTTTTTCGTTTTCTTAATACTTTAAAATTATGCTGTAGTTTTTAATTTGGAGGGAGATGTGCAGTTCTAAATGAACTCACCTATCCCACCACAAGTTTATTTTTAATCTGGATATTGTATAGTTGTTTTGTTAAAAGGAAGAATTAAAATGAATGCTCTTTTTTAGTTCTTTGGAAACTAGTTACAGTAGGTTATTTGGGGGKTTTTCCACTTGGTTTAACACAGAGTAGAAGTAGATAATTTTAAATATATAGGGCTGATGTTTCCCTTCTCAATGGTAGTTTTTTGTGAGTACTTGAATTTATTTTTTCTTTCATGGTTTCTGGATAAGTCTTTTATCTTTTACTGTACCTGGTAGTGAACCTAGGGGCACTTAACCATTGAGCCACATCCCTAGCACACCCCCCACGCACGCACACACACCTTTTTTGGTGATTCTCCTGCCTCAGCCTCCGTTCAATCCTAGTACCCAGGATTGAACTCGGGCACTCAACCACTGAGCCACATCCCCAATCCCCATTGAGACAGTATCTTACTGGGTTTCTTAGCACTTCGCCATTGCTGAGGCTGGCTTTGAATTTGTGGACTTCTATCTCAGCCTCCAAGCCACTGGGATTTATAGGCGTGGGCCACTGTGCCTGGTGTCTTGCAGAGCATGCGTAAGTCCCTGGTCCATCCCAATAAAACTAACCAGGTGTAGAAGAAACGTGCTCTAGAAGTCCGGGTATGTGGAAAGTGAAGGGTGTCAAGTGAAGAGCAGCACCCATCCCAGGTCTCTGGGAACAGTGGCTTCTGTTCTGCAGGGGCCCTGTGCAGGGCACTGGCCTCTGTCCACACAATCCCCTAAACAGGAGGCTGGAATCCTAAGTCTGCATGGAGTTAGAACACAGCTGGGTCGCACCCCTTCTCAGTACTGGCTCTTCTCTTGGCCCCGGCCACTTGTGATTTTCATTGTTTTCTTGAATTAAAGCAGTTCTTTGTACATTAAGAAAGATTTGCCTTTGTGAAGTGGCAGAAGGACCACAGGCTGGGCGTCTGCAGTGGCACTGGTCGTCTGGCTTTCCAGCCTCAGAGCCTGCTGGTGAGGAATTTCTTTCAGAAGTTGGTAGGAGGCAGAGCCCCTCCCTCTGCAGCAGTGGACTTGCCACCTGGGTACTCTCCCAGGTTCCCTGGCATCTCCCAGCATCTCTGGCCCACACTTTGTGGAGCACATGGGCATGAGGCTGCAGCTAGGGTCCCCAGATGCAGGCATTCCTGTGTGTCCTCACCTAATGCTCAGATAACCAGTGTGCTTCTCAGTTGCTAAGAACAAGACTTGGATAGCTAGGTGCAGTGGCGCATGCCTGTAGCCCCAGTGGCTCGGGAGGCTGAGGCAGGAGGATCGCAAGTTCAAAGCCAGGCTCAGCAACTCAGCAAGGCCCTAAGCAACTTTGTGAGACCCTGTCTCTAATATGGATGTGGCTCAGTGGTTGAGCACCTGGTATTCAATCCCCAATACCCTCCCCCCTCCAAAAAAAAAAAAGCCCAGATGGTACTCAGGACTCTGACCCAGCTCTGGCTCAGCTAGCCTAACAATCTGTGTCCTGTTTAACAAGTACCAAGGGCTGATTGTGCACCAGGACCACTGGTTACCAGGAAGCAAGGTGGAGGCCGATGTGCATGTCAACAGACAAGAAAGTAATGAGGAAATAGGCACTTGGAGTCCCTGGTCCCAAGCTAGAGGGCACAGTAGCCCCCGCCCCCTCTGTAAAGGGAAGGTGTGAGTCTCTTGCCCCTCTGCTCCCTCCTGGGGTGCACCTTGCCTCACAGGTGAGCTCAGGCCAGGCAGCCGGAGCTGTGCAGTCCTCCACGCAGCTTTCTGCCACCTCTGAGGCAGCTTGAGAGGGGTCCTGGGGTCCAGGGCTGGGACCTCCCTGGCAGCAGCACAGTAGAAGGCTGGTGTGGACAGCCTCGTCCAGCGCTCACACGCAGTTAGCTCCATCACGCAGATCAGCCTCAGACCCTCCTGCAGCACCTGAGGTCTGGGGATTGGGCCATCAGCAGGGTGACCTTGAGCATGGGAGGCGCAGGGTCAACCTGCCATCTTACAGCCCGGGCCTCTGCCAAACCCTCAGTTTCCACATCTGCATTGGACTCCCAGCCCCACGGCATGGGGAGAAAGAGTGCAGCCTACAGCCTGGCCAGTTACGCCCTCCAGGGAGCTCCTCAGGTAGCAGGAGCTTCCCCGGTGGAGGAGGAACTAGGTTATGGATAAAAGGGACTGAAAGGGTGGAGGGAAACATCCAAGCATCGCCCAGGCAGGCCCTCGCCAAGAATATCATCAAAGCCCAGATGAGTCACACAGGACTGAAACCAGGACGTCTGTCCACCGGACATGCCTGGCACACATCCCCAGGACACTGTTCCTGCCTGCCACTTCCACCCACAGGACTGGTGTCCCTGGTCTCCCTGCTTTCACCCTGATGCCCGTGGCTGGAAGCTGCTGATCTGCTCTTGTGAGGTGCCCTCCTGCTGTGTGGGCTTCTATGGGAATACCAGAAGGGGAGTGCCACAGCGCGCCTGCAGGAAGCTTGGAAGTGCAGCCTTTCCCACTGAGCTCAGCTCAGGTGCCGCACAGGGTGCTGGCTGCTGTTGCCTGAGTTAGCAACCACCCCATGTTGCTTCTCAGCGGAGGCTGATTCTGAAGTGTGAGGGAGAGCCTCCCTGCCCACCCCTACTGGCCACTGCTCCGGCCAGGCCAGCCTGCTGCAAGGGCTGAGCTCGGGGCAGCCTTGCCTGGAGGTTGGGGTTCCTTTTGCCCAGCCTGCTCTAAGGCGCCCTTGCTGGCTACGCTTGGTGAAGCCACCCCTGCCTGGGCCTTTCCCTACGTGGGATGGGCCGTGTCCTGCACATGCTCATRGCCTCCACAGGATGGCAGCAGAGGCCCCAGCGTGTGGCAGGGTGAAGAGCAGGTTGGCTGCTGCTCAGGCTCACAGTTCAAGCCCCAGGGCACCAGGTGCTGAGGGCTGCAGGCCTCACAGCCAACATCCACAGTGGGGCTGACCTGGGCCAACCACGGGTCTGGTCAGGAAGCCCCTTGGCCACCTGCAGCCCTTCTGGCCAGAGGTCTTGGCCCAAGTCAGGAGCCTGCTGACCAGATGGTCAGTGTCAGGTGGGGAAGATGTCACCCTGGCCTTTTGGCATGTCAGGTCCATGTCACGATAAGGATATGCCAGACACAGGCTACTCGTGATTTTCAAGTCCAAGGCCACCAGTCCAATGGCTTGGCATCTGGCAAGGGCAGAATACTGCCATTAAACCCCTGTCCAGCGAGTGCTCACACCTGGTGCCAGGAAGCAGGGAAGGGCAGGCAGGCCACAGCCTCTTTCCAGGGCTCGTCCTGACCTCCTGAGGCCTGTCAGGCCCAGCTCCCCAAGGACCCACAGCCTCTGACCAGCACCCCTGAGAGCAGTTTCAACACAGGGGCATAACATCCAACCAAGTCCCAGAGGTGACGGAAGCCAGACTAGAGCCGAGACCCAAGCAGTTCAAACACAGGCCTTTTGTGGGGTTCCGTGCCTTAAGAAGGGACACAGAGCTCCCACCTCGAGTGTCCATCTGACTCCTCGGACAAAGAAGGGGATGGATTTTACTCACATGTGGGGGCTGCAGGGTGGGCCGGGGTCTAGGAGTTTCTGTTGGTGGGGGCTGTTTCAAAAGTGCTCTTCCTTGCTGAGCCTGTGGTGCATGTCTTTAATCCCAATGGCTCTTGAGCCTGAGGCAGGAAGACMGAAAGTTCAAGACCAGCCTCAGCCACTTGGTGAGGTCCAGAGGGGTCTCTGGGTGAGGAAACAGGCAAGCCCTGCAGGTGCATGCCCAGGAGGTGGTCAGCAGGAAGAAGACTGGACACAGAATGAGCACAGTGGTCAGGAGCTGTCTGCCTGAGTCCAGTGGGTCCCTGGGACGTGGGCATCCAGCTCTGAGCTCAGGGTGACCCCAGGGTGGGAGGAGCTTGTCCCAGCCAGTGGCATTCAAGTCACTCTGCCCAGCTCCACAGAGTGAGAGAAGTGAGCCCTGTGCCATGTAGGTGTCCCTGGGGTCAGCCCTGAGCAGCCTTACTGGGAGCAGCAAAGCTCTCAGGGCATTTGAGGGCCTGACGGGTCTAGGAGGTTCTGAGTGTGGGCTCCGAGTGGGGGGTCCAGATGGAGTCCCAGCTCTGTCCCTGTTCTGTGACCTCAGGTATCACAGTGTCCTCGCTGAGCTGCCTCCTTATCAGCAAGATGGATGGTGTCTCCTGACCAGCAGGACTGCCAGGGGCACAGAGGATGCCCACCCCCAGCTATTTGCAGAAGGCGTGCAGCAGGCCCCAGAGGCAGGAGGGGAAGATGGGCCAGGGCTGGGTTTGGAAAGGTCAGCCACCATGTCCCTCCGAGGGCAAGGGTCCTGTCAGTGTCACTGTGGAAGGAAGAACTAGCCAGAGGGGATCGCCTGTGGGAGGGGAGACGGCCTCTGGTTGGTTCAGCATGCCCTTGTGTGAGAGTCTCTGTGGTCCCAGCACGCACATCTGCAAGTGTCAGTGGCCTGTGCACCTGTGCGGCCCTTGGTGGCTGTGCTGGAGGAGGGAAGCCCCGCCATCAGTCCCCAGCATCTGCTCTCACAGAGGCCACGGCTGCGCTGGACGCTGTGTGTTTACTTTTGTTTCATCTGGTTTCGTGCTAGGGGCTGAACCCAGGGCTCTACTACTTAGCCACATCTTCAGACCCTTTTTATTTTAAGTCAAGTTCTCATCAAGTTGCTGAGGCTGGTCTTGAATTTATGATCCTCCTGCCTCAGCCTCCTGGGTAGTGGGGATCCTGTCACAGTGTATTTTTTTTTAATACTTTTTAAAWTTTTTATTTATTTTTTAAAACAGATTGGTTTTTTAAAATATTTTCATTTGGACTGGGGATGTGGCTCAACTGGTAGCGCTCTCACCTGGAGTGCGTGCGGCCCAGGTTCGATCCTCAGCACCACATACCAACAAAGATGTTGTGTCCGCCGAGAACTAAAAAATAAATATTAAAAATAAAAATTCAGGGCTGGGGATGTGGCTCAAGCGGTAGCGCGCTCACCTGGCGTGCGTGCGACCCGGGTTCGATCCTCAGCACCACATACCAACAAAGATGTTGTGTCCGCCGAGAACTAAAAAATAAATATTAAAAAAAGATTCTCTCTCTCTCTCTCCTCTCTCACTCTCTCTTTAAAAAAAATAAAAAAATAAAAAAAATAAAAATTCAAAAAATATATATTAAAAAAAAAATTTAAAAAAATATATTTTCATTTATTTTTTTTTTAGTTTTCAGCAGACACAACATCTTTGTTTGTATGTGGTGCTGAGGATCGAACCCGGGCTGCACGCATTCCAGGCGAGCGTGCTGCCGCTTGAGCCACATCCCCAACCCTTAGTACTTTTTTTAGTTGTCCATGGACCTTTATCTATCTATCTATCTATCTATCTATCTATCTATCTATCTATCTATCTATCTATCTATCTATTTATCTATCTATCTATAGAAATGGTGCTTAGACCCGAACTCAGTGCCTTGCACATGCTAGGCAAGTGCTGTGCCCCTCAGCCACACCCCCAGCCTGACACTGTGTATTTCTAAAGCAGGAAAAACATAAGGTCCTGGGAGAAGGTCCATGTGGACACACCTTGGGTGCTCCGAGACAACACAGGGGGCAGGTCAGCACCAGGAGACAGGAAGTACCAGTGGGGTGTGTGGATTGTGCCCTTGCTACCTTCCTCTCCACACCCCTTTGCAGTGTCCACACTCCTGAGTGGCCTCTGAGACCCCTCTCCTGCACTGGTGGGCCAGGACGCGGTTCCAGTCGTTCCCCCTCGGCTGCGTTCCCAGGCTCACCCAGAGCCACCCTGGGGGAGACGGTGCTGAGGGCCTCTGGACATAGGAGCGTACCTGCAGGCTGACCAGCCCTGTTCTCAGTCAGTCAAACAGACCTCATGTGCCTTCCTGCAGCAAGGACACACCCAGTGGGTCCAGAGGCCAGTGTGTCCCGAGCATTCCTAGGGTCCCAGTGTCTGGGCTGAATGGCCCCTGGCCAGTCCCCCACCCTCTGTACAGCCTCCAGACTGAAAGCCTTGCACTCAGGGGTGGCTGCTGAGCTCCTGCTCCCTGATGACACCTTGGCATGGGGTGAACTTGTCCTGTGCTCAGCTCAGCAGGACAGCCAGGGAGGAGGCCACAGGCCCTGGACAGCTGCCCAGGCATAGGAGAAAGGACGGTGGGCTCCAGAACGTGGCCCGGAGCACGGGCTCCTAGGCACCAGGAGGTGCTGTGTGGCCCTGGGCAGGCTCTCCTCGCCCCCAGCTGAGCTGATGGCCAGTGTGAGTGAGCAGGAGGCCATGGAGCTTGCAGACATGGGGGCCAGGCAGCTGTGGACCCGCCATGGAGCCTTCTCTGGTCCACGACTCCACTCACTTGCCTGCTGTCTATTGCCTTAGTCAGGGCTGGGAGGTCCATCTTGCAGGTAGCCCAGGTCTTCCTGGTCCAGTGGTGGACAAACTGTGGCCAGCACGACTCTGGACAGTGGAGCCAGTGGTGTGGAGGTRAGAGCCCAGAAAGGAATGTTAGAGGGTGGGCAGATTAAGCAAGGCTTTGAAGGATAAGTAGGAGTTGGCCAGCGATAGAGTCGGTAGGCTTTGAAGTCCTAGAGCTCAGAGAACTTTGTGGGTCATAGGTAAGGATGGTTCATTGTTGAGTCTAAGATTAATGACTCAGTTGTTGTTTGGTACCAGAATTGAACACAAGGGCACTTTACCACTGAGCTACATCCCCAGCCCTTTCTTTCTTTCATTCTTTAATATTTTTTTAGCTGTAGTTGAACACAACACCTTAGTTTTATTTATTTATTTTTATGTGGTGCTGAGGATGGAACCCAGAGCCTCGCATGTACTAGGCCAGTGCTCTACCACTGAGCCACAACCTCAGCCCCAGCCTTTTCTAAGTTTTTATTTTGAGACAGGACCTCCCTGTTGCTGAGGATCTTGCCACGTTTCTGAGGCTGGCCTGGATCTTGTGATCCTCCTGCCTCAGCTACTGGAGTCCCGAGGATTACTGGTGTCTCTCACAGCGCCTGGCCTGAAATCAATGATTTAGAAGCACCCAAATTGTCAACATGGGGTAGGACCAGTGGATTCTGGGAGTTGATACCATGGCTTCCAGCTAGTACAATATTGTCACAGACCAGAAACAGGAAGCCCAGTGACCTCCTTCCACACYGTCAGCACCTCCTTGAGCGTCAGGCGCAGGGGCACAGCTTAGTGCTAGGGTGGCTCCTGACAGGTATGAGGCCCTGGGTTCCAAACCCAGAACCACACACACATACGTATTTACTGAACACCAACACTGGGCCAGGCACAGCCCTGGGCAGGGACATGGCCATGAGTCAGGACCAGATGGTCTCCAAACTGCCATGCGTGGTGAGGGCTCTGAGGGTGGGAGGCTCCTGTTTTTCAAAATTAATAAAAACATATTTTGCATGGGGAAAAAAACCTGGAGGGATAAGTATCAAAATGTTGGTAGTGTTTATGTCTGGATGCTGGAATTTTTGCTTTTATCTGCTTATCTGCATTTTCTAATATTTCATTTATTATTATCTTTTTAGTTTTAGGTGGACACAATTTCTATATCTTATTTCTATGTGGTGCTGAGGATTGAACCCAGTGTCTCATGCATGCTAGGCAAGCGCTATACCAGGGAGCCACAACCCTAGCCCTCATTTATTATTTCTTATCCAACAGTAATAAAATATATATGAAGGGGGTTCTCATGTCCTGCCTGTGATCCTGCAGAAAACCTCCAGGGACCCAGGTCAGGAGCAGAAAGGGAGCTGGAGGGAGGCTGGGGTGGAGGCTGGCCCTGCTCTCTGCCCTCCCTGGCTCTGGGTGGTGTGGGCTGGCAGTGAGGAGGGGCGGGGCCAGGCATCAAGGACTGCAGGAGACCCTGCTCTCCCCACAGGCTCTCTCCTTTGGTGCCAGCTGTGGCCCAGGCTGCCCAGGGACTGCCCAGCTATGGTGGTAGCCCTGTGTATGCCTACACTCTGGACTCAGAGATGGGGAGATTCCAGCTCTGACTCTTTTCCTGTCCTCCTGTCTGGGGAAATGCCACCTGGTTCTCCACGGTGCTGCCCTGGATCAGTGAAGAGCTGAGAGAGGCCTGAGTCAAGCCCTGTGCCCTCAGAAGGACAGCGACCAGGTGCACAGCTGATCACTCCAGGCCCATCGCCTTCTGCAGAGGGTTCAGAGGTTGGCGGCCTGGCACCCTCCCCTGGGCTCAGGCTCATGCTGGGCTGGTGTCGGAGTGCGGCGGATGCTTCCTGGAGATGTCCAGGGAGGAAGGGCCTGCGGGGAGGCCCAGAGACCTGCTGGCCGCTGTGGGTCCTGCAGGGAGCAGGGCATCGCCCTGATGAGCATTTCTCATCCTCATTCCCATGGAATGCTGAGAGGCTTCCCGGGGTCATGTGCCCAGGAAAGCTGGCCTGGGAGGGCCTGGAACCCCTGCCACCAGAGTCACCCTCAGGCACACAAGCACAGTTGGTACTGAAGCCCTGGCACCGGGAAGATGAAGAGCAGTAGGGCCGGCTCTGCGCAGCCAGCCTACTTGGATCGGGAAGAGCAAGGAGGCCTGGGCAGCAGGAGGAGGTGGGCACCAGATGGGGCTTGCACCTCTGCTGCTACTGACCCCAACCATGACCCGCGGATTGGAAGGTGCCAGCCAAGCCCACTCCGCCAGCCAGGGCGCTTCCTTGGCAAACCGGGTAGGCGCCCACAGAGTGTAGTCCCTCAGACCGGCTGCGAGGGGACAGTGTCCTCGTGGTCCCTCTTCAGAGGGCTGGCTGCCTTCTGCTGTTCTTGGCTGCCCCTCTGACCTCAGGATCTTCCTCTGGAGTCGGGGTTGCTGAGGCTGAGCCCTGAGCTCCCTGGATCCTCCTCCCCTTCCCTCTTCACATCTTGCCTACTCTTCCCTCTGCCCCTCCCTCCCTGCCCCCCATGGCTTTCGGCCAGTTCTGGGCCTTAACTTTATTCAGAAACTGGCAAAGTGAATGAGCTGGAAGGCAATCTGTCTTCTCCAACAACTCCTCTTTCGAGCTGCTTCCTGGCCAGGGAGGAGTGGTGGTGGGCAGAAGGGAGAGAACGCAGCCTGGGCCCGGAAGCCCAGCTCTGCTCCCTTCCAGCCGCGGGACAGTTCCTGCGGGGTCTGGAGCAGGTAGGTGGCCAGGGACCTTCGTGGTTGGACTCTGACCCTCAGTCCAACTTCTCCAGCTGGTGAGGGGATCTGCCCGCCCCCGGACTTCAAGTTCTGCAAGGCAGAGCTCTGCTTCCTGCCTCCAGCCCCAGGCAGCGAGGTGCCTGGCACACAGTAGGCGTCCCGGAACTACCTGTGGTTTCAGGTGGGAGTCTGGCGCTCCCAGGAGGAACGCAGGGATTCAGTGCAGTGGCGGCGGCGGCGCGGGATGATGGCGGCGGCGGSGGSGGGGGCGGCCCCTCCTCCTCCCGGGGGCTGTTTGCACGGACCGGGCGCCCGTGGGGCAGCTCGAAGCCCCCCGACCCCAGCAGGAGTACCCAGCAGCGGGGTGCGCACTGCGGGAGGGCGCGCTCCATCGCGGCGCACAGCTACCAGCCGAGGTCCTGGAGGTTGGATCCTAGGGCTCCGAGGGGACGCCCTCCTCGACCACCGACTCCAGGGGCCACCYGTCCCCTTCACTGTCCCCTTCACTGCCCCCTCCGCCCCGCCGCTGCACAAATTCCTCCAATGCCCCTCCCCTGTCCCCTCTGTCCCGCCCTTTCCCCGCCCCCTCCACTGGCCCTCTCCCATCCACTGCCCCTCCACCGGGCCGGCCACGTACAGCCCCGCCATCCCCGCGCGGTGGCTGCCGCCCGCGCCACGTGTGCCCGCGCCACGCGGCGTGCAGGGAAGCGCGGTCACGCCTGGCCGGGCCACCATTTCCCGGTCGCCACGGCGTCGCGGACTCCCCAGCAGCGGCTCCCGAGCCCACCTGGTCCGAGGTGCCCCGCAGGCAGCCATGAGCGGGTGCACAGATCGCGGGGCGGTCGCAGCCCCGGCTCCGGCCCCAGGGTCGGTGCCTGCACCCTGCGCCTCGAAGGTGGAGCTGCGGCTCAGCTGCCGGCACCTGCTGGACAGAGACCCATTGACCAAGTCCGACCCCAGCGTGGTGCTGCTGCAGCAAGCGCAGAACCAGTGGGTGCAGGTAGGGCGGGCCGCGGGGGTCTGGCTGGCCCAGAACCCTGGAGCTGGGACACAGAGACCCAAGTGGGTGGCCTGAAGCTTGCAGGGTGCCGGGCAGAGGCATCTAGAGCTGGGGCTGAGCTCAGCATCCAGGTGGGGCTACCAGGTGTAGAGTGGGGGTGCCCAGGAGTCGGGGTGCATCTCAGTGTCCTGGGTTGGGGGTCTTGGGGTCAGAGTGAGGCACTCAGCTTGTATGCGTAAGAGGCACAGAAAGGAGTAGGGTGCAGGAGTGAGGGAGCCTTCCAAGGCTGGGCTGGTTGGGGTGCAGCTGCTGGGTAGCCAAGAAGGAGCACCTGGCTTGTCAGTCCCCATCTCTGAGGCAGAGGCACTTGGAGCTGGTGGCTGGGTGGAGCTGGGACTGTTGGATGGATTTTTAAAAAATATATATATATATATTTTACTTATAGATAGACTCAATTCCTGGTTTTATTTGTTTATTTTTATGTGGTGCCAGGGATCAAAACCAGTGCCTCATGCATGCTAGGCGAGTGCTCTCCCCCTGAGCGGCAACCCCAGCCCTGCTGGATGACTCTTGCTGGTTGAGGGGACTCTGGAGCTGGCTGACCAGGCCAGAGACCATGAAGGCAGAAGCTGAAGGCTTTGAGATTCTGGATGCCCCCAGCTTGCTGCCTCGCCCCTCCTTGTGCCTCAGGAGCAATCCCAGGTTGCCAGCTTGTGGCTTGGTCTGGGGACAACGGGAACCACAGGCCAGGTCTGGGCAGCTGCCTGCAGGAGAGCACCCTGTCCTGTCTCTCTGGACCTTGGCTTTGTGCTGTACAAAGTGCTTTCTCAGTCACCAGCTCGCAGGAACCCAGGGTGTTACCTCAAGACCTAGAGACCGGTTGCCTCCTTAGCTGGGAGGCCGTGAGCAGGGGCGACTGGCTGGGTGGAAGCCGCAGGTGCCATGACTTTCCTGGGCACTCGGGGGTCTCACTCCAGTGCCCTCCTGGCCCGTAGTGGCAGAGTGCAGGCTGTGAAGGGGTGACAGGGGGTGGAAGGTCCCAGGTGATGGCAGAGCAGAACCCACATGGTGGGGGATGGATGCATCATGGGCATGTGCCTCTGGAGACCATCTCTGCACACCCAAAATCTGCTGATGTGGCCCACCAGGCTCTCCAGGCCGAGAGATCCCACAGGTCATCCACCTGGAGGGTGAAGGGCTGCCTGGAGCATGTGTCCAAGCTGCGCCAGGCTCCTTGAGGACTGCCCTGTGCCCGGTTCCCAGTAGGACCTTCTGGGCCTCAAGAAACAATGGCTGGTGCAGATGTCCCCAGTGGTACCTTCTGGGCCTGAACAGCGGCTGGTGCAGATGTCCCCAGTGGTACCTTCTGGGCCTGAACAGCGGCTGGTGCAGATGTCCCCAGTGGTACCTTCTGGGCCTGAACAGTGGCTGGTGCAGATGTCCCCAGTGGTACCTTCTGGGCCTGAACAGTGGCTGGTGCAGATGTCCCTGGTTTGAGGACAGGAGTCTGGGATCTGGCGACACGTAGGAACCCGCTGAGGGGCTGGTCCTGAGGGGGCATGTTGAAGAAGGGAACTGAGCTCCGTGGGGGAGGCTGGTGAACCCAGGTCCCCTGAGGAGGGGGGACACCCACCCCCATCCCTTCCTGCTCAGTGGGAGCTCAAGTGTGGAAACTGACTCCATCCTTGGGCAGGACCCTTCTGGGTTTCCTCTCTGTAACAGGGTAGAGCAGAGGGAGGAGGACACGCCTTTCTCCAGGAGGGGAGGTGCCCAGGGTCCCTGCAGGTGGCCCCCAGGGGTGGCCTGGAGCCCTGCCATGCCTTGCAGGGGCCAGGTCCCCATGGACTGAGAACAGCCCTGAGGAGAGTAGAGGGCCACAGGGGCCCCTGAGTGCAGGACCCTGAGGGGCCTGGGGAGGCCCCTCCATGGGTCAGCTTGGGATATGGCTTGCAGGTGGGCAGAACTGAGGTGGTCCGCAGCAGCCTGCATCCCGTGTTCTCCAAGGTCTTCACTGTGGACTACTATTTTGAGGAGGTGCAGAGACTGCGCTTTGAGGTGTATGACACCCACGGGCCCAGTGGTCTGAGCTCTCAGGATGACTTCCTGGGGGGCATGGAGTGCACCTTGGGGCAGGTGAGCAGCACCTGGGGAGGGAGGGTGTGGGAGGGTCCTGGGGGCGAGGTGGAGGTCCCCTGGAGTGCACCCCCATGGCTCAGGTTCTGAGGGGCGCACTGCCACGGCTTCTCCCCTAACAAGATTTCTTGTTGGAGACAGGGTCTTGCTAAGTTGCCCAGGCTGACCCAGAACCAGAGACCCTCCTGCTTTGGCCTCCTGGGTTGCTGGGATGGCAGGAGTGTGCCACCAGGCCACTGGTCTTCCATATCAGTTTGTAGTGCAATTTTGAATGAGGTGGTCCATGGGTACATGCCACACTCAGGATATAGGAGCCATGCTGCCGATGCCCTCCTGCTCTGCACAGCTCTGTCTGGGTCCTCAGACATCCTCCCAGAGCCGTGTTTTCACAAGAGCAGATGAATACATTGATGTTTTTCTTTCTTTTCTTCTTCCTCTTTTCTTTTCTTTTTTGTGGTGCTGAGGATTGAACCCAAGACCTTGTGCATGCGAGGCAAGCACCCAACCAACTGAGCTATTTCCCTAGATTTTTTTCTTTCTAAAAAATCCACGGATTGCAGACACTTTCTCTTCTGACGTAGGAGCCCTTCCTCGTCATCATACAGAGGTCTCTTCTCTGTTTGCCCAGCATGTGCAAGGCCCTGGGTTTCCCCAACACTGGGAAAAAGAAGTTAAGAGACCCCGTCTYCCCGTCCAGGGTGTAGCTTAGAGGAGCACCTGTCTGGCAGGCACAAGGCCCTGGGTTCAGGAAGTGTCCCTGTTCCTCCCTGTGCAGGGTGGCTGCAGCGTGGTATCCACTGCTCGCAGCCCTTGCCCAGGCCCTCTCCTTCACCCTGTGCCACCTGTTCGAGTAACGAGCATCTTTCCTGCTGCCGCTCGGCTGTCTCTGGGCTGGGCTTTCCACAGGCCTCGTGACTTGAGGAACAGCTTACATGTGAGACGCGAGGCCGAGGATGGCAAGTTCCCAGATCGCAGGTCCCCATCCCTCGCAGGTCCCCCTTCCAGCCGGCCCCCTTCCAGCCGGTCCCCCTGGTTGTCTGTGCTTGGGCCTCAGGGACGTGAAGCACAGCATGTTCTTTTACCCCACATCATGTGCATCTGACTCATCCCCATGGCTGCCTGGGCTGGAGCCGGTTCTCGTTAGCTGCTTCTGCCGACCCTGTTGTGTGGCAGCGGGGCTGACGTATGGGGAGGACCCCACCCAGGGGCTGCAGAGTGGAGCTGCCCCACCTGCCCAGCCTGGCGCGCACACATGCACACAGGCCCCACCTGGACCCCTGCAGTGCAGGACACTCCTCTCAGTCCCAGGTGGGCAGCTCACACATGGACGCAGACCGGGCACGTGTGTGGGCACACGCTCGTGGACTTCCTGCTCTGTGGCCAGGCTTGCTGTCTGGCCAAGGGCAGGGTCAGCCCTCTTAGCTGGGAGGCCATGAGCAGGGACGCCTGGCTGGGTGGAAGCTGCAGGTGCCATCACTTTCCTGGGGACTCGGGGGTCCCACTCCAGTGCCCTCCTGGCCCGTGGTGGCAGAGTGCAGGCCCAACCCAGGGGGCTGCAGAGTGGAGCTGGTTCTCGTTAGCTGCTTCTGCCGACCYGTTGTGCGGCAGCGGGGCTGACATGGGGGAGGACCTGCCAGTTGCCCACATCCAGGGAGTGGCAGGCTTGGGCTCAGGACACCCCTGGAGAGAAGGGTGTGCCCCGGCAGTCCTGAGCCCCCCAGCAGCGGTTGTTGCCCTTCTCATCTACGGGCAGGATGGACCCAGAGGACCCACCCGCTCTCCCAGGGCCCTGCTTCCCCCTGGGCAGGTGGCCCCTGTCCTGTGAGCTTCCCTGTGTCGACTTCACCCACCTGCTGGGCCCAGCCCACGGGAGAGCTGCCAGCAGTGCGTGGTGGGTGACGCCCACCAGGGCTCGGCCTAGCTGAGCAGTCGCCCTTGCTGGACACGCACCTTTGTCAAAAGCCAGGGTGTGCCACCCTGGGGCTGGTGCCACCCTGACTTGCTGGAAGAGCTGGTGTCCAGGAGGGGCCCACAGCCATTAAAACTTCCTTGCCCCACGGGTCCTCACCTGCTCCTCACCTGCCCCGAGGGTCCTCACCTGGTCCTCACCTAGTCCTCACCTTCCCCATGGGTCCTCACCTGGTCCTCACCTGCCCTGTGTGTCCTTACCTGGTCCTCACCTGCCCTGTGGGTCTTCACCTGGTCTTCACCTAGTCCTCACCTTCCCCATGGGTCCTCACCTAGTCCTCACCTGCCCTGTGGGTCCTCACCTGGTCCCCACCTGCCCCGAGGGTCCTCACCTGGTCCCACCTAGTCCTCACCTGCCCTGTGGGTCCTCACCTGGTCCCCACCTGCCCTGGGGTCCTCACTTGGTCCCCACCTGCCCTGTGGGTCCTCACCTGGTCCCCACCTCCCCTTTGGGTCCTCACCTGGTCCTCACCTGGTCCTCACCTTCCCCATGGGTCCTCACCTGGTCCTCACCTGCCCTGTGGGTCCTCACCTGGTCCTCACCTGCCCTGTGGGTCCTCACCTGGTCCTCACCTGCCCCATGGGTCCTCATCTGGTCCCACCTAGTCCTCACCTGCCCCATG